GGTACATTCTGACTCTAGAAATATTTATAAAACACCATGTTACATATAAAACAGCATGATCTATTTAAAGGTATTTTCCCTCTAAAAACCTGTTTTACTTATTTAAATTTAAAGCAGCATGGGCTGCCAAATTTTAAGCATTTTTGAAAATATGATAAGTAAACCTATTTTATAATTCAATGCTGAAAAAATGTGAAGTCTTTTAAGTGGTTAGTAAATAATAAAAATATATGAAATTGTAATCAAGGGAATAGAAGCTTGCTGTTCAATACTTTGAATTTATCTTGAATTTTTGATGGAGATAAGTGATTTGTTGCTTAGGGATTTAATGGCACCTGAAATATGGAGGAGAAAAAGAAAGATTCTCAAAAGCATTCTGAGATTCTCAGAGCAAAATCAAGTTTTCATGTAAGAAACTCTAATGTCATAAGCTGGTGACCTATGGTCATATCCAGTTAAATGATTTGCTGCCTTGTTAGAAGTTTTAAAACTATTTGAACCATATGCAGATTTCATATAAAATCCAAATTTTAGCTCTACCTGACAAATCTGGCAATACCAAGCTCACATTCCTGCATAGCAAAACTGTGCTAGGGCTAGAAAGTGATATCCCAGTTCCGTAAGCATGTGCTCTCAAATTCGTAGGTCCTTACTACTGCTCCTCCCCTCCCTTTTTTTAAACCTTACCTGCCTAGACATTAAAGTTATGTGACTTTCCAACTACAGTAAAATATAGAGCCACTGCAATATATTATATCCCAAACTATTTTATTTTTAAATTTTTAGTGGGCACTGATTATCTTTTTTTTTTTTTTTTTTTGAGGTGTTGGGGGGTGTTTAGCTACAGTTGTTCAGGTTGGTACTGAAATCCTTCCTCATTTCAAGCAAATCTCCTCACTTAGCCTTCCAAGTAGCTGGGATTACAGGTACAAACCACTGTGCCTGGCTTAGTGGGCACTGAGAAACAAAAATACTCTGGGATCTAAAGGAGGTACCAGGAGCAATACTATTTATATAAAGCACATTAAGGGAATTTTTCTCTTGTGAATATTTATTGTTAGTTCCTTTGAAGAAAATTCAGTCTGCTTAGTGCACGTTGTAAATGGGCAAAGCAGGAATGGTAGGAATAATAACAACAAAACTTTTGTCAGAGTCAGACTTTGGGACAGGAGTCCCCTGTGTTTCTCCTTTGCTAGTAAAGCAATAAAACTTCTTTTTCCTTTTCCTCAAAACCATGCACTCATTATTTAAATTAGCATTGGGGACAGGGACCGAACTTTCGGTTACAAATATTGGCGAACCAGATGGGACCCCAGAGCAGCCCCTGCTCAGCTTTCTTAGGCAGGCCTGGCACTCCAAGCAACTATAGTTCCATGCCAAGGATGTAAGGTGAACTTTTTGAGAGCTGACTACTGTAAAGTTAAGAAATGGGTGAATATGCCTGGGGTTGAACTGAACCAGAAAAGCTCTTCCTGTAAGTAGAGGGAGGGACTGAGGGACACTCAGCAGCTGCCGAAGCCCCTTCTGCTTAGAGGAACTCCCGCCTTCCTTCCCTGCACTGTAAGGATTGCTCCACCTCATTCTACTTTGAGGAAAAAGGAAACTGAATACAGTAAAGTCATGACATGTTGGCCATTTGATAAGCTCCCGCGGTGTGCACACAGAGACCCTTGATTCTACACTTCTGGTTCCCCTTTGTGGGAGCATCTGGTCCCCTTGTGGGGACATCTGTGGCATCACTGGTGTAGAAGTCATGGTTAAGTGGGAGTTGGGAACTTAAGGAGATTTTTTTTCCCCTATCTGGTCTGTTTTAAAGGTTCCCATCTGTCGGCCATGGTTTGGGGATCCTCTCTATCATTATGTTTTTTGTTTGTTTGTTTGTTTGTATCTTTTTCTGGCCCTTTAAGACAGTGTGTTGATCCTATAGATTGTTTCTTCAGAACGATCTTGGTTTAATGGGCCACCTATAGATGTAAATGTGTCTAAGAAAAAGATGATGTTTTACTGTTTTTTTTTTTTTTAAAAAAAACAACCCAACCAAAAAAACTCTTTTGTCTTATCCAAGACTTAAGGTTGACCGACAAATGAATTTTCAAAAGCATAGCAGATTTTTGGATATAAATTGAGAAAAAGGTGAAAGGGGGAGCCCAGAAAGAACATGTTTTTCAGCAAAGTAGTAACACTCCCTCAAGCAACTGCCCACATGCTAGCAGAGTGCTTAATGGATTGATAATGTTCATCTGGAGATGCCAAGTAACATCATATGTCATAGAGTTGGAGTCCATAGTATTTTCTTTTCTATCTGGAATCTGCTGGTAGAAAATGTTATAACATGGTAATTTGGTTAATTAATTCAGACTCAAGCGAATAAAATGTGTCAGGTCTAGTGTCTGAAATATGTCTAGGCCTCAGAATGGGAACTGGTGTGGGAGAATTTGAATGATGCTTTTGGCTCTGGTATACTCCAGTAGCAGACAGTACTATAAAGTTAGTAGAAAATGACATATCCTACTTAATACAAAATGCCTTTTTCTAATGACCTCTCCTAGGCTTCAAAATTCAGTACTAGACAGAAGTCTTAAGAATACTGGCAATTAGTCTTTAGAAAAAGTATTTGCTTAGTACTTGAAATAGTTAGCTATTTCAATAGTATGCAAGCAAAGAGAATTGTACACACGTATTCTCAAAACCTGCTCCTCAAATCATCTGCATCAAAATCCCTTGGACTATTATTAAAAATATAGATTTTTCTCAAGCTCTCCAGAAATCAGAATTACTGAATCAGAATCTTTGATTTTTAATTAGATTCTTCATAATTAAACTTGGAGAACTATCTTAGATTTAGTAATATACTCAGTAAATATTTAATGCCTACTATATGCCCATATTGGACTACTTTAGAAGTTACTAATAACTATCATACTCTGACCACATTCCATGTGCTATAAACCAAGCTAATGCATTTTACATGTTTGAATTAACTCTGTTCAACAATATAAGAGATTTTAAGGCTCTATTTTATAGATAATAAAGAGAATGAATAAACTGTTCAGGGTCACCCAGCCAGTGAATATAATCCTGTTCCTGAAACCCAGATCTGATTCTAAATTGTCTCTATAGTTTGATATATTATTTTCTGTTTCTTGAATCCAGAGTCAGCTAAAATTTTATTATATAACTGGGCATGATGGCATGTGCCTGTAATCCCAGCTACTTGGGAAGCTGAGGCAGAAGGACTGCTTTAGCCCTGGAGTTTAAGATCAGCCAAGGCAAAACAGTACTGTCTCAAAAACAAAACAAAAATTTTTTCATAGTCCCATATGAACAAATTTCCTTCTACCTAAGAAAGCAACTGATCAAGTGCATTATTTTAAATTTCAATATGATGGGTAAAAACATTCAATATTAATCTAAGAGATTTCAATATGATGGGTAAAAACATTCAATATTAATCTAAAAGATTTTGCCCTCTCAGACTATTTTCTTGGGCTTTAGTGCACTTTCCTCCTTTCACTCATCTTTCAAGATGAAATACAAGTCTAGGGTAGACTTGTATTCAGAAAAGAAACCTGACAGTCATGGGAGTTCTCTTCTTATGATTATGAAGTAAATTCCACTAATAACACACTCTCCATTGGTTAGAATGTTCCTAATGAACCAAGTGTTAAGTATAATCTTGATGTTGCAATTTTTAATAGGCTCTGCTTAATGGTACCAAAAGCTATCACAAAAAACACTAGGACCAATTAAAACTTGCAAGAGAATTTTTCAGGAGGAAAAATAATATTGCCTAAATTGGATCATGGCCAGATGGGCAACAGTTGCTTTGGTATCTGCATTGATAACATCAAGATTCATCTGTATTTGAATTACAGGGCCCACACATCTTTCAACAGCAGTCTGTCAGAAGTTGAAACTCATGAAACTATGCTGACATCAGTACACTTTGCTGCAGATTACAATACATCAGCTCCAAGTAGAGGCAAAGTAGCAGCAACTTTTATTAAATGTAGGCAGTCTAGGTTGCCAGCTGAAATCACTAACTTATTCATACACAGGAGGATTAAATGCCAAATTCTTTATGTGCTAAGTAGGATGGATTTAACAGCAACTAACGACAATGGTATATGTAGTACAGCTGAGAAAGTTTAATCATGATTGGAAAAATATGAATACTGTCTGGTATTCCTGCAAAAAATGTTAAACTTAAGCCTCTGGGTTAATTTTGTTATTAAGAAATAACAAAAAAAGAGACGTCTTTAAAAACAAACAAACAAAACCCAACAAACCACTTTGGCTCAAACACTTAAAAATATTATTATTCTCAGGGAGAAGAAGCATGGGGGTCAGTTCTAAATTGAGGGATGAAATAAATATGTCAAAATATTAATTACTGAATAAGTGAAGGGAATACGAATGTTTATTATACATTCTTTTAGTTTTTAAATGTATGCACTTTTTTATGATAAAACATTTGGGAAAAAATCATACTGATAAGACCTCAAAGGGGAAACCAAAGTGTAAGTTAAATAACAGGGACTACGCAGAATTTGTAATAAATAAAGAAAACAGAAAGCTTGGTTAGCAGTGTCTTGGGCATTTTGGAGACACCCAACATATCCAATCATTTTCTAAGTATCAAAGTAGTATATGCTGGGTGAAATAATAGGCTGATGAATCTGACAAAACCATTCTATTTAGGTAACACATGGTAGTGAAGTTAAAAACAGTGATCGGCATAAAGATGTACAAAAAGTGCTTAGATAAGTTCAAAGAAAATTACTTCCTGTTGGGAAGAATCTGGAAACACATCTCTAAGGATAATAGAATCATGGATGCTCAATCCAAAAGGTCATTGCTACAACAATAATTAACCTCAAAAGAAACATGATTAGTTCATTGTGGCTGAAGCATGAGTACCAAGGAGGGAGAAATGAGGTAAAAGAGGGCAGATTTGCACTCGTTGTGGACTAGCTAGATACAATCAATTTTCAATTTACCTGAAAGTTCTGGTCGTTTTCTTGCTGTTACAGCATTCAATCTGGTAATATCAAGATGTCGGAGTTCTTGACTGAAGCCTACGGAAGGAACTACAAAATATAATGTCAAGATTAGCCTTGTAAAAGTCATAGGATAATTTTACGAATATTCACGAGCATTAAGTTGTTTAACATATAGTAAACTCACAGGATTAGGGCAGCATATCTTTATCCAGAACTTCAGTTAAAGCTTACAAAGAAACAAGAAACAAGAAAAAGAAAGTAAAATTAGAAGGGGACAAGGGACGAGGAAATAAGACTTAGAAGTCTTGCCGTGGTGCTGGGGAAATCATCTTTTTTACAGCTGGGAGTGGAAAATGACTTCCTCAGCTCCCGAATTCTCCATTCTCCAAAGATGAGGGAATGGAATTACCATACTTAATAGAAAAGAGGGGGCGTGGTCAGGAGTTCCAATTTGTTCCAGCCGTCCCCACACCCCAGCTCCGCTGTACAGTCCGCGCTCTAACCCGGTTGGGGCCCTCCGGCCGGGCAACTTGAGCTAGGATTAGGCGATCTGTCGAGCGGTCGGGCCCCAAAGGGAACCTCAGAGGGGCGGAGGGAGGGCGGACTGCCGAGCCAGCCGGAAAGAAAACCTTCTTCCAGCGGAAGTGGCCCCGACACCCGCTTACCTTCTCAGTGTTCCAATGTCCCAGGGACCGTCGACCTCAGCCATCCCTGTGGGTGGGGCCCGGGGACTCTCACCTCGCCTTGCAATTCCTGCCAAGAATAGGCACTCCTCGCGGCGTTGGGCGGTGGAAACTATTCCCACCCCTCTGCGATGACTCTACTGGGAAGTGCTAAATGCAACTTCCGGACAGGAGAGGGATTTTCGGAGCCCCAAACTGTTGTCCACCTAGGTAAGTGACCGGACGTCTCAGCAAAATAAGGGCAAGGAAACTAAACGCAATCTTGAGTATAAATTTACTTGTCTAACATTGTCTGGTCACCTAGGGTCCGTCTTTGGGCCTACTTACAGAAGCATCCCTTCCCAGACCGTTCAGCTGTTGCCCGGGGTAACGGTGACATTAGGCGAAGGAAAAATCTACGTCATGTTGGAGACCGGAAGCCAGGAAACTTCTGCTGCCATTGTCAACTATGGCTACCTTAGCTTCAACAGTAACTTCCGGTTAGGAGTCGTCTTTCTACCCTGCCGGAGGCTTACTCAGTGGCTCGACTAGCCAGCGGCGCCCAGTGGGCGGGAGACGGCGTATAGCTGTGGAGCAAAGGAAAAGGGCGGAGAGAGGGAAGCTGGCGCCAATGCCTCACTCTCATTGGGGAGTTGCAACGGTCCTGGCTCCGCCTATTTTTCTTCCCTAGCGAGTGACGGGCCCGCGCCGGAGGGGTGGGGCGGGGCGGACGGAGCAAGAGTGTGTGGAGGGGCGGGGCGAGTGGGGGAGGGGCAGGCGGGGGGCGGCGGTTGGGCAGCGTCGCTCCTAAAGAGGAGGAGGAGGAGGGAGGAAGGAGCCGAGCGAGGAGGATGGCGGAGTCCGGGCTCCTGACGGTAACCCGGGGCCGACGAGGAGGAGGGTGTCTGTTGGTCGGTTCTTCCTGCCTGCCTTCCTGTCCGTCGGGCTGTCGGGCTGGCTGTCGGTAGGGGGTAGCCCCGCGCGTCCTGACAGGCGCTAGCCGGCGCGGCCGGGGCGAGGCCCGAGGGGACGGGGCCCTGGGAGGCGCCGCCGCCGCCTCCTTCCTGGATGCTGTCGCCGGGAGTGCTGGGCCCCTGGAGCCGGCTCGCGTTCAGAGCCAGCAGACGGGGGACGGGAGCGAGAGGGTGGGCTCTGACAATGCCCCGGCCCGGCCTGCGGCGACTAGGACGGCCGGGACAGCGCCAGGGCGAGGGCGAGACGGCGCGAGGGCGCGGGCCGGGGGCGCCCAGCGGACCGTCCTGCTCCGCTGAGCTCCCTGGGCTACCGGGCCCTGGCTGCGGGCGTCTGGAGTCTTGTAAATGGCTGGCTGGGGCCTGGGTGTAGTGGTTGGGATACGGGGTGGGGGGGTCTCTCCTCGCCCCCTCCCCAAAGCCCAAGGCACTCTTGCGCTCTCCTCTCTTGAAGACCCTTCGGTGAAGAGTGGTGAATAGGGTTTGGGTGTGTTGCCAGGTGAAGCGAGCGGTAGCCTCCGAAACCGCCTTGTTAAACGTGCCTGATGGCAATCTCTCCGTGATAGCATTTCGGGGGAGAGGAAAGTAGTCAAACTCTCCAGCCCCCAGCCTCCGCCCCCGTTCTTAGCTGTTAACGCCAGAGGCTTCAGGGCAAAATCATTTTCCCCCCCAGCCCCTCCGTATCCATTGTTTTGTATCAGCCCCTCCCCCATGCTTAGGTAAAAGAATAATGACTCCAAAGCATTAATTTGGCTCCTTTATCATCAGAGGGTTTTGTTAATTGTGGAAGTATGGGTTTACAAACAGGTGGAATGAATCGGGAGTTGGAAAGATGGTGCTTTGTGTGTTTTTGATTCAGCTCTTACAGTTGGTGATTTGATTTTCTTGACTGTTAGTGTGTATCATCATGGGGGTGTTGTGAATAAAAGAGGAAGCACCGTTTTGCAACCTACCTACCCCCCAAAATATTTTCAAAGTCTCTAGGGATGCTGAAACCAAATTAGGTTGTAGATGTGGACTATTGTCTCCAGCATAACTATCAAGTCTCTTAAGTTTACACCTGTGTAATTTTGTACTCTTCATTAGAGCAGTCTGCTATCTACTCTAGGATTCTGAAAAACAGCTTCTGATACAGTAATCCCTCAGAGTATACTTCTGTAACCAAGTGATTTTTTTTTTTTTCTTTTCTTTTCTTTTTTTTTTTGGTCTGTCATCAACACTGACAAATAGTTTTCATTTCTTAAAGGCCTCAGTTCATTAGGGTATTAATCTCCACCTTTACCTCTCCATGCACTTATAACTATTTGTTACTATATATTTGAAGAGACTTAACTATTTATGATTTGTAACATTCAGTAAGTTTACACTTAAAATTTGATTTTTTTTTTCCAAATGTAAATCCCCCCCCTCCCTCCTATGTGACAATGATAGTTTTTAGGAGTGAGGTACATAAATGACTTCTCAACGTTTGGAACTTAGACTGAACATGAAAGACTTTTATACTTACTTGGATTTAAAGTATACTGTAAAATTTATTCATAGTTATGATTATTTTTGTCTGTAGTCTATCTAAATGTATAAAGTTTTTTGTCTAAGATTTGTAACTTTCAAATGGCTTAAATCTAACATTAAACTAACATAAAATCACATTCTTAATCTGTTTCAAGTTATGGGCATGGCCTATCTGTAAAGGGTACTACATTTCCCTAAGGTGCTTGTTTTGTTTTGAAAAAAATTACATTTTCTCAGTTGACATTTGTTCTCTCTCCTTGTTAATATGATTTTCAAGTTTCTAAATTCTTCTTTTGTTAGAAATTGTTATGGATTAAACAGTGATGTTTAAAAGATATTAATAGCTGGATTACTTTTTAGGTTTTTAATTACCAATACTTCCAAAGATGGCTTCTGAATAGTTATTGGTATATTTTTTTTTTGCCTGAGTTTACCTAAATGGATTGTGGGGGGAGGGTGAATAAAATTGGAATGTTTTGTTCAACAGGTAGTTAAATTTTGGTCATGATTGTTTATATGCTAGATTAGCATTATTATGTAATTTAATGTTTCTGGAAGTTCATTAAACAGATTAAATGTAGAACTTTTTTTTTTTTTAAGAGACTTAACTATAAACCCTGTTGTTTCTGACAAAAAAAATGCCCTCTATATGTAGATACCAAGATACATATTTTTGGAGGGTGAATATTAAATATTAAAGTGCTTTAACAGCAGTGTATGAAAACATAAAAATCTTTGTTTATAACATCAAGAAAACATAAAAATCAGTATGAAAACATAAAAAGTCTTTGTTTATAACACAACAAGATGAAGCACCCAAAACAATAAAAAAGTAACTAACCAGACAAAAAGTTAACTGATAAAACCTTCAGTGAGCTCTGAGGTTTATGGCTTGGACTTGGTGCAAGAATTTTGGGATGTTTATAAAATATCAATTAAGAGGAAATTTAGATATAAAATAAATACTTTGATACTTCCTGATAAGACTGGTAAGAAATTGAAAAATATTTTGTTGTAGATGAATTAGACATTGGCTGTAATTTAGCAGTAAAGTGATACATTACTTTTATGTGATACTCAAGAAATGAGTCCTAAAAAAATATTAAGTTGGTAGACATTGTTGTTAGACCTAACTATATTTCATGCACTGTCTGCTATCCTTATATCCCCTATTTTAAGTGCTTAGTTTTGTCTTCTGATTGTTTCATTTACATGTTACAATATATCAAAGTTGTGCCCTGTGAATCTTTTTTCTCTTTTTAATATAGTAGTTAAATTTTTTGTATATTCCTACTTCCCTGTCTAAACTTGACTTTTAAAATCCTGAAAAATTTCATGGTTACAAATAACCTGTGGTATGCTTGAACTGGATATATTATGGAATGTTGTGAAATGTTCTTGCTCATCAGTACAGGTTGAAGGGAAATGCATATATCTGAAAAACTTACATTCTAAAATATATAACTGCATTATTTTAAAGTAAAATAGTGTGTAATTGAACATTTCTTCCTGATTCCCAAGTTTTTAGCATAACATCTTTAATTCAACAAAGTTCAAGCATATAAAAAAATAGTCTGTAAACTTTTGTGATGTTGATAACAGGTACTTCTTGAGAAAGTATACAGTTCCCATTATCAAGATTTAAAAGAAAACTAACTAGATTTCAAACTTTATGTCTCATTATAACTTCTCTAGAGAGATAACTGATTGCATAAAGTAGTGGATTCTGTGAAAGGTAAGGATTCTTTTACAAGAAAGAATGAACATACTGCTTTAGCTAAAACATTACAGGAGACCTTAAAACAGGGAGTAGTTTGTCCCTATGTGAAATGAATCTGAAAGACTTTTTATAAGTTACTTTGGCATTCTTTCTGCTCTCCATTACTAGATAAAAGTCCTGTGATTTAAAATTAAGTAATTTCACAGCTGATAAAGATAAATTCTTTTTCTAATGTCTTGGAGGTAACATGAAAATAGCTTGTTCTGACAATTGATTTCAGGATTTCTAGAACTTGGAGATAATTTCAGCAGTTAGATTTGGGCTTTCTGTTTTCAGTTTTGTGTTGTACAACACTTCTTCCTGCTTCCAAGATTTCCTTCGTCTTACATTTTTAGTCTTTAACTTTTTAATTCCATTCCATTTTTAAAAAATATTTATTTTTTAGTTGGACACAATACCTTTATTTTATTCATTTTTTTTTTATGTGATGCTGAAGATCCAACACAGGGTCTTGCACATGTGAGGCGAGCACTCTACTGCTGAGCTACAACCCCAGCCCCATTACATTTTTTTTTTTTTAACAACTACAGTTTCATATTCACTCATGTCATACAACTTCCATTGATTGCCATGTGTGTTTCATCCTTGGAGGATGCAGAGATAAATGTATCATATTTCCTACTTTCAGTAAGTTCAGAGTTTGTTGCATGAACTGGGGAAGTTAGTAATTATTTGTTACACGGTGGGCAAGTGCTTTAACAGCAGTGTATATTGGCAAACTCAGGTGTGTAAAGATTCAGACTGCATGTATAACTGACAATGCTTACTGGAGGATAAGCCCTGAACCAACTCTTGAGAGTAAATATGACAGATGAAGGACAGAAAAATGTTAAGGTCCATTTGGAAAATTACAGGGGAATAACTGTATCCCAGGAGCTTTATATTTTTAATGTTTTTAATAGTTATTGCTTTCTTCGTAATTTAATTTTTGGACCTTGAACTGTGAATCTGTATTATTAATGAGGGGCTCTTTAAAATTATTTAGATCTTTCACCTAAGTGAATTTTTCATCAATATTTTAATTAAATCCAAGAACATAATGAGCCCTGGTAATGTATGATAATTCCCACTTGGGTAATGAAGTTTTTTTTTTTTTTTTTTTTTTAATGCAACACATTGAGAGTGATATTATGAACTTCCTTAGATCTTGTGGCAAATTTTTATTATGGAAATATTTTTAAAATATTCTGAGTAAATAAATTTCTTTACTTGATAGTGCCACTCATTCTTCTTTTTTTAAAAAAT